TTAATCAGAAACATTTTCAGCCATTATTTTGATATCTTCAACTTATACATTTGAATTTCTTATACTATACTATTCAAGCAAATAACAATTGTGCCACTCAAAGGAAAATGAAAATCAAGTTGCACACTTATCATCATTCGTAATTAGTATTCTTTATCAATACTGTCCAATATTCTGTGTGAAAAATTTTCTGTAATAATTATAGAATGTTTTTCTCACAGAATATTGGACAGTATTGATAATTTGGTGACAAGTGTTCAACTTGATTTTCAGTTTTCTGGAGATGGGTTTTTTTAGCAGAATACAACTGTTGACCTATGAATATCAATGTAGAATTAAACAAGAGTTTAAATTTTTTAAATGGTATTACAGAATATTAGAACTTGTAACTATATTTCTCTTTTTACATGATTTTTATAAAATTTTTTAAATTATTTGTTACACACAACAATTATAGTATATTTAACAGAAAATTTGTTTTTTATAATTGCAGGAACAGAAATATATTGAAATTTAAATAATACATAATCATAAAAACAAATTCAGTTTTGTAACTCTGAGGAAATTAAAACATTAAAAATTGTTTATACACTAGGTTATTGCTAATTTGGTTATTCCTTGGAGAGGAGTGCACTGCATGCGGATGCCACTGTCAAGGAAGGTATGCTATATAATTGAGAAATTAGATAATTAAGGGATGGATTATCAAATTTTATTCTTATTTTACAAGACCTAATGTAAAAATGATATATTTTACTTCAAACAAGATACACTAATAATGAGTAAATTTAATTCTTGATAAATTAAAATTAAATACAATCTTCTCAGTTAAATTTTGGTTTTGATCGCATAAAGGTTTGGCATATAGTCTTTTTGATTAAATTTGCATTTATTTGTAAAGAAAATTATTCTGATTAAGAATATTTTTTAATGTTTTAAGCCCTAACTTTGATTTCATAAGATATAGTTTTTTCTAGGAGAAAAATATAATAAGGAATTTTGAGATTACCTAAAATTTAAAAAAATTATGTTTTTCAGTTAATAAGCATTTAAATTGAATTATAAGTTATATGTAAATATAATAGTAGTACTTTCACCATAATTGATCATGAAACCTGTTAAACAGATTATGAAAGTACGAAATTTTTTCTTCTTATTTTTTAGAAATAAAAAATAAATTATGTAAACTATTTTCAGTTCAAACTGTGTGTTTTTTTTAAATTGGCTGGTTAGAGTACAGTGATTTATATAAGTACAGTAGAGTGTCGATTATTTGAAAGTCAATCATCCAAAAGAATTCCAGTAGGCAAATTTAAATTTTCGCCAGTGCTGTGGCGCTGCAACCTTTGGCTATGTCTTGGGCTACTCAAATATTTTACGTTTTTGATACTAAATTAACTTCTGAAGTATGATTTTTTATTGTTTTTATATTTTTCAATATATTTATTTTGTTCGTACAAAATAAAAAAAAAATTTTTTTAATGATACAATAGTCTTTGTTAGGCTTAACATCGATGAAAATTCAACGCAAAGCGACACACAATGGAGAAAAATGTCAAGATGGGATAAATTAATATATTTTTTCGTACATAATCGGTTATCTGAAACATTGATCTTCCGAACAACCTCAGTCCCAATTGATTCGGATAATCGACATTCTACTCTATACTGAAAATGGATTTATCATTTTGAATATCTCTTCAGTTATGTGAGATTTTTAAAAATATTAATGGATGAATAGATATTTGAAAGTGTAAGAATATTTTTAAGTAGTACTGACCTTTATCTTCAAGTGCTGTAAGTTAATATAAAAGCATGATTATGTATTGCAACTGAAGATAGATGTTAGTGCTTCTTTGATTGATTATCAGTTTGGATCTAATAAGAATACATTTCTATTGTATCTGTACCTTACATTCAGTAAATACAGTATATGAGTGAAAAAGAACAATAGGAATGATATTGTTAATTGTTTACTTAAAATAAAATTGCATAATTATTTTTTATTTCTAAAACTACACAATATATTTAAAATGCAAGATAATATAACAAATATATTTATAGTATGATGTAACTTAAGTTTTACTGTGAGATATATAGATTGAAAATGTTTTGTATATATTAATTTAAAAGTTTAATTTACTGTTATTAAATAACTTACTAGATAGGTAACATTTAATTTTAAGAATTTGTTGAGCATTTTTAATTTTATCATAAAAATATTAATTTTATTTTTATTATAGATTAATCTCAAGAAAATTGTTCAGAATGGAATTGAATTGCTAAAATTATGTATTGATCAAGTAAAATGGTGATGAAATTTAATAAAAAAAAATTGTAAATAAAATTTAATATTAAAAGAAATGATTTCTAGAAATTAAATGTAAATACTGATGTAAAATTGATCTTAAAAATTTTAGTTTTGAAAACAGTTTTTGTTTTTTTTTTATATTTTTCCATATTGAATAAAGTTATTTTTTATTTGATTATTAATTAATTATAAAAGTTGTAATATATGTATTTTTTTCCATTGTAAGAAAATAGTTATTCATCTACATTTTTTAGTAGTATTAATACATCCCACAAACCTCATCAGAGTAAATTAGAGTAAAAAATTAATTGCATAAATAAATAATCATATTTATAAAAAAAATTTATCTTGACTTTATTTTATTTGAATTTAATTTTAATTAATTTTTAGGGTTTCCTTTTGAAAAGGTATTTTGTAAATGAACTTGCTTATTGATTGTTTTAGAGTAAATTTATTAATATAATTTCTTGCATTACTTGTGTTATTTTGTTTTTCTTTTGTGTATTTAAGTGATGCATTTTTTATTTTTTACATAATTACATAATTTACCACATATACAATCCACATAATAATGTATATTTTGTAGATTGTATTATAATGATATATTCAATAATTTGATTCTTTCATACCTAATTGCATTTAAGTTTTGATTATAAAATATCCAAGAATTGATTTTTTTAATAAAAACTAAGAAAAAAAATTGTTCTTATACTTTTACTGCATAAACACTAACATTCAAATTCTTAATTCCTTTTTCAATGTTTTGTTTAAGCTGTATATTTTAGCTTTTTTAAAAATTAACTTACATTCTATGTTAATATAATATATAAACTGTTTGTTATATAATCTAATAATTACTTAAAACACATTATAATTCTTACACAAAAACTTAAGTTTTTTTTCATAACTAAATGTCACTGAATCTTGTTTTACATTTTACTTTATTTCTTGTATCAGTGTGATGAAGTATAAAATATCAATTTATGTTAAATCTGCATTTTTTACTATATATTCTTATTGAAGTTTTGTTTTACATGGGTTTGAATTTTATATAAATATTAGTTATTAGTTTTTGTTTGTTTATAATAATAAAAATATGTTTAAGGAATTCAATAAAAATACAATGGTTACTAATTAATTTAAATTTAAGACTTTTAAGACATTGTTATATATAAGTAATTAAAGGAAAACTTCATATTCTAAAATTATTTAGTATTATTTGTGCAATTTTTCTTTTACTTCACAAATGATTCATCTTTCAATTTGTTATTTTTGTTAAGTTATAAATTTAATCATACAATGTTGTGTACAAATAATTATTTACAGAAGGTTTTATAATTTAATCAACAAATTATTTTAGCACATTAAATCTTACAGTAGTATACTTACAAATAAATTTTAATTTTAAAATATTATTTTAAAAATTACAAAATTGATTAAAGAAAGAATCTATTATTCCATCAATCATTGAAAAAAAAAAAAAAAAAACAGAAACATAGTAAAATCAGATAGGTTAAAAGTTTTTATTTCTTAAATGCCTTGTGATCAAATTCAAGTCAGTTTTGGGAGACAATAAATGTTTAATGATCACTAATTGAATATACAAATTTATATCATGAGTTTTTGTTTTTGTGAATAAAAAGATGTAAATTATTATAATCTGCAAAATTAGGTAACATTATTATTGAATCAGTCTTCCAATAACTACTACTTGTGGAAACTTTTCCAAATTCATATTTGGAGAAGTTTATAAAGTATTTGAATCTGAGGATAGCCCAATTGGTGTAGAAAATGTTTTTTTGTGAATTAAAGTTTTGGTTTCCACAAGAAACAGTTGTTGGAAGATTGAATAAAAAATGTATACTTTGTGTAAAAATATGTCACTGGATTGAAAACATTTATTTAATTTGTAAGAATTATTTACAAAAATTCTGTCTTATTAGTAAGCAAGTTTTGATTGATTTTTATGTTTCAGATATATTTTAAATACATTGTGAGCCATTCTCATAAGAATACAAAATTATATGTACAAGTAATTCAAAAATGTTTCTTTGAAATTTGATAATTTTTACATTATTTATTAATATTAATGTATATTATTCAGAATATAAATTATAGATTATATTTCAGAATATTTTGATTTGTTTAAGACATGAAATTTTTACAAATTTATAAATAGAAAGGCATTAATTGTAAGTAGTGCTAGTACAAAATATACAGCAATATCTGCAATATATAGATTGCATTTAACTTATTATTTCTTCTGAAAGTACAAAATGTCTGGTAATCCAATATTTTCAATAATTTAGCACTAGTCCATATGGTACCAGATTAATGAACGTTTGCTATGTATAAAATATGTAATGTAAATTATCATGTAATACATATTTTTAAGTACTTTGTGTTATCATACTTTTTTACATTTAAACAAATGTGTGTGCAGTATTTTCTTTGAAAAAGTTATACAAAATTATTGAGATTGCCATAATTGAGTGATTTGATCTATGAGATTGATATTTTTGTCTACAAAATATTTTTGTGTATTATATAAATTATTAATTAATGTTAAATAAAATCACAATCATTTAAAATAGACTTAACTTGTTTTTTTATTAAAGAAATCATATCAATCTATATGTATATAATTCCTGTATAAAAAATTTATGAAAATTTGATTTCTTCTTTGTAGGACAATACAACCTTTAATTTTGGATCAGAATTATATTAATTTGAAAAATCAAGTTATTAAAGCAGAAAGACGAATTCTTAAAGAACTTGGATTTTGTGTTCATGTAAAGCATCCCCATAAGGTATAAATATTAAATTTTTTCTTTTGAAATATTTGTTTTATACATTATTTAAATAATGTTACTATTAAAATTTTTAATTTATGGAAACAGATTATTTAACTCAGAAAACTACAGTGATTAGTTGAAAGGCCTTTCAACATGAAAAGTATATCATAAAATTCAAATTTTTCTCTAGTTAAAATATTAAAATAATGGATATATCTTGATCAAAGTTACAAAACTAAATTTATGGTTTTCTTCTGAATTACATAATAGAAATCTGTAACCATAGCATAAACTAAAAATTTGATGGAATTTATTTTATAATAGTTACTTTAAAATTATTCATTTACATTTTTATACTTAAATTTATATTTATTTATTTACTTTCCAGATAATTGTAACTTTATTAGAAGTATTAAAGTGTAAAAACCAGAAACTTATGCAGACAGCATGGTAAGTTGTTATTTTTAATTTATAATATAAATATATAATATATATAGAAACAATAAGTGGCTTTTTAAAGACATTATTTGAAAATTATTTAGTAATAAAGAGAATTGCTGTGAAAAAAAGCAAATCCAAAACCTTTTACATATATTGTCAAAGTAATTAATTAATTTTAATATTAAGTGAAATAGATTACCTTAAGTGCATTATAATTGTAAGTTTTTTACTTTTGATTAATTCAATAGTAGTAATGAATATACTAAATTGTCTTTAAAGTATACATTTCTTGAACTCTCCTTTAGTGGTTATTTGTCTACTATTCCAAAACTTTTTAAAAATTTAACATTTTTTGAACAGCTTTACATTTTAAACTATTTTTAAATGAACATAATAATAAAGTAATCAAAAATGTAAGTGTTGAAAATAAATTTTTATAGAAACAGTAAAATTATAATTCTCACTTAACACTTTCTTACTATTATTGATGAGTATTTTGAGTAGGGGTTCCATAATTTAAACTAAGTTCAGATTTATTTTGAAATGCACTCAAGTTAATTCATAAAATGGGTTTTATTCAATAACAAAAGTAAAGCTGTTTTTTACCGACTTTCTCAATTCAGAATGACAGTTGATCAACATTAAAATTCCAATCAAAAACAACAACTTTTTTTTAGTCTGTTGAAACTACATTTTCAAACATCCTAAAAAACATTCCATTTTCATGGTTACGTGAAACAAAATAAATGTATGCAGTAGGGTGGTTATTATTATAGTGATAACATATCAATACTCACATGGCGAAATATTAATTGTTAATAGTATTCATTCTCTTCCATTGATCACCGACAATCTGCTGAAGAAATTGGTTTTTCTGTTTATCCTGGTGTGCAGTTGACTATTTGGTCAGAGCAGCTCTGCATTCTATCATATTGTTAATACATTTGATGGACCTGATGCATTTTTCTATGGTTCACATCAGAAGGCCAGTGTTTTTGATCCAGTTCTGTGGATTTCAAGTCAAGACCAAGTGTATCAAAAAAATTGTGTTGACTGATACATAATAGTCCAAATCCTGACTGTAGCTTTGACAGCTAAAGTTATTTTCCTAAACAGTTTGTTTCAAACAGATGAAATGAAAAAATAAGTCATTTTATTATATCTTATTTCAAATTTTTAGGTGTTTGTGATTGTTGACTAATTAGCCAAACATCCATTGTTCTATGTGTATCAAGTCTTACAAGTCTCTTTTTTAACACATATATATAATAAAAACTGATACCAATTGCAGCACAGCTGTAGTTTACACTAGAAACTTGCAAACTGGGAGTGCACTGTTTTACTCTTCTAATGGCCAGACTAGTATTATTCACTCCTTACATAGCAACTTACTGGAAGACATCTTTTATTATTCACTATTTTACAACATATTTCCATTATATTATCACAAGTAGTAGCTATAAAATCAACATATATTCAAAACCAGTTTTAAAAATATACATTTATGGCATATGTAGCTCTTAAATTAACAAAGGCTTTATCTTTTACATAACATACATGCATGCATGCATACATGTTGATGAGGGTATCAAGCAAAATGCCTACATAGAAGAGTTGTGCAAATAAGTGGCACACTTACATAATAAAATGATTTTGATCATTTGTGTTGGTTAATGGATTTATTTACTATTTACTTTACTGTTCCAGTCATGATATGAGATCTATTTAACCTCTATATACAAGTTGAATGATTTTATATCAAAGTAATTTTTACATTATGAATTAAAAGATAACTTTTACATTATGATGTAAAAGATAACTTTAAAAATTTTATGTATATAGTATTTTGGCTTTTAATTTCTTAGCAATCTTTCATATTAACTTTTTTCAAATAAAATTGAAGTCTAATAACTTGAAGCCAATTACTTTTAATTGTTATTTATTTTATATATGTCCAAAGAATTTATATATTATTAATAAATATAAACCTAATTGAAATTCTAAGTTTTCTTTTATCTTCCTTGTCCGAAAGTTATGCAAATATAGATATTTAAATAAAAGTACTTTATTAAGAGAGAAAATTATCATTAATATCTGTCATTTGAGAAACTGATTCTTAATTGCAGTTTATTAAGTTATAGATATGAATTCCATTTATTTCATAGTTACTGCTTTTTAACTACAAATTCTTTGTAACTAGTAGAATATTGTAATAAAATTTCACAACTATATAAGAATTTCTTCTATGATCTGCATTATTTTCTTAATAATTGTTTTGTTATTTTTGTTGGATTTATAATATATTACTAATTGATTTATGAGTTGCATTATTTTATAATGTTTATGATATAATTATTTTTGCTATAATTAAAATTATGATTATAAAATAGGCATAAAATAGATATATTTAATTAAATTTATTCATTCATTTTAGAACTTTAAATAGTACAATTACAAAAATAGATTTACGTTAGTTACAACAATAAAAAAATAACAATTTTATATCATGTATATATATGTATATATTTGGTCACATAATATGAATAATACACAAATAGATACACTGAAAATGTGGATATTCTGTTTTCTTAGTTGTGGTTTTTTTTGTTTAATATTTAATTTTTTGTTAGTTTTTGTTTCATAGAAAATTTATATATATTATGATTTATGGATTTTTAGAAATTTGAACAATTGTATATTGTATGTTATTTTTAATTTTTAATTTTTTTCAATTAAAAAATTAACCTTATTAAATAAATAAAATATATATATTTTATTTATATACAAGATGATTAATTTCTACTTGTTTGGATTTTCACCTAGCAATGCTAAGGTGAGCTGAAATGGTAAGTAGATCCAAAGTCGACAGTTGCCAGTCTGGAACCTGCCATCCTGGGCCCCATCACAATGATGAGAAGTTACCGATAATGGATGTAACATTCAGCGTGTGAATGCTTACATTTGATTGAATATCAAGACATGATTTCTTTCAGTGGAAGAAATATATCTATCTTTAAGAAGAATTAAAGTTCAACAAATCCTCTAATTATAATCTTCATATATAAAGATTATATTTAATATAGTTCATGATTATGTGCAGAACTATATGGAAAATTTCTTTTTTGCAAAGGAATCCATTAAAAGTTTATTGTATTTTGTTTAATATAAATGGGTAGTTTAGGATAAATTTAAATGACTTAAGATATTNTATATATATATATATAAGATGCTCCACAAAACTATAGAACTACTGCAAATTTACTATACGAAGGTTAGGAATTACATGTATAATGTAGCTATCTTTCTTATATCATTCAGAATTTATGAAAACATAATTTGTCGAAACTCATAGTTTCCTATATTGTAGTGAACACCAGAAATTGTAAAAGAACTGATTTTAAGCACCACAAAAGTATAGAATCGACTAGTAAATGAATGCAAAAAACATTAAATACTACAAAATAGTTTAATTTAGTAATTTATTTGCACACCTCCTGTACTAATAACATCGAAAATGTAATTTGGCATGCTATAAACAAGGTTTTTTTATGATTGATATCTCAGGAGTTCGAAGCAGTCACAATTGCTTGTTTTAAGTGTTCAACGTTGGCATACTGATGATTTTGGTCATAAATTTGGTGAACTAAGATCCCCCAATGTTTTGCATAGGTTTGCAATCAGGAGAATGTACTGATTAATCTAGAAGTTCAATCCACTTATTTTCAAACTAATGTTTTGTATGTCGTGATACATGGATATGTGTGTTGTCCTGTTGTAAAATAATAACAATTCTTTTGAATCTACATTTGTTTGGCAGCACTTTGTTCTACAGAATTTGTTATAGCTGACACTGTTCATGCGACAGGTAATGAATGCCAAATCCGATCTTTACAATGCAGAAAAAGCACCTCAAACCGTAACACTCCCAGCATCGAAATTCCTTTGGGGAAAGTACTTGGGCTCTTTTCATAAATCACACCAGTAGAACACTAAACCATCTGGCACATCCAAGTTAAATTTTTTTTCTTCTGAAAAGATTATGTATATGACAAAAAGGTTGTTATTTCTTGTGCTAACACAATAAGTCTAAATCAGTGTTTCTCAACGGGGGTGATGTTGCCCCCATGTGGGCGTTTTTCCATGTTGAGGGGGTGATTAGTAACAATTTATGTTTTGTTGGGCAAAAAACAATTTTCTGGGCGATATAGTAAAACATTATATTAAGAATAATTAGATATTTTATTCATTATATCGTACAATAATTAAACAAATTACATTAACTAGCCACTAGTCTATTCAATGCAGTGTGAATTTGGCGTTAGCCTTGTCCCTTGGCATCGGAATTTTGTAGTGAAGGGGGGATACTACATAACAGTTTTATTGAAGGGGGCAACGATTCGTTAGAGATTGAGAAACACTGGTTTAAATGAAACAAAAAACTTACCTTATTCCATCGAGTGGCCATATTTTTCCTAGCAAAATCAAGTTGGGCAGCTTTGTGCTCAGGCTTGAGAGTAGATGCACTTGTCATTCAAGACCAAATAATGTTGTTGTTGAATGATTTTGTGATGTATTTGAATACCCAAATTGTCCTGAATTTGACCTGTAAATGCGGTGGATTAGAGGCTGCATTAATAATTCGCTTGCGGATTAATCTTTGAAGTTTGAAGAACATCTACTTCTACACTTTGGTCCATAATTTGCATGATTTGACAAATAATGCTGAACTACCTTTTTTGAATGCTTGATGCTGTTTGTTACTGCCTGATGACATAAACCAGTGCTCAAAGCTACAATTTGTCCTTTCTCAAAGTCTGTTAAAATGGGTACCACAAGGCATGATGAAAAAATATAATTTTATACTTGAAACTTGTGAGAAAGACTGCGATTCTATACTTATGTGACAGTATGCAAACTGACTTCATCATTATTCCACAGTCAGCCACTAATTAGAAGTTGAAGTTTCCTAAAATTATGTTTTTTATAAGTTAGGTGCTGAATTATGCATA